TCTCTCTCTCTCTCTCTCTCTTTCTCTCCCGGTGAAATTTATTTACCTCGTAAATCGACCGGCGGTACGTTGAATTCTATTTCTTTCCACGGGAAGAAAAAAGGAAGAAACGGGGAGGAAAGGGAAGGAACTCGGACCGAGAGAGACGCTTCTCTCTTTCGTTTTGCGGCTCGCCTCCGTTACGTATATACTGCGAGATACGTATTTCGGTCTCACGGAAATTCTATCGGTATTCCCCGCGCCCTTTCGCCCCGTCGCATTTGTTTGTTGCCTAGCGAGAGGTCCGATCCGCCGCCGCGCGAATTTCGAGGCGGGATCTCCACTGACGTTTTAATTACGATCGCGTGTACAGCCGGAACCTTAAATCATTGGTGGATCTCGCACCGAATTGAAGACGGAATCGGTAACGAGCGCGATGAAAATAAACGCCAGAGAGTAAGGGGGTAATGCGATTTAAATCTTGAGCTGCAATCTGAAATATCTCTTCTTTTCTTTTTATTATGACAGAAGAAAACAATTCGTCGCAAAAATGTCCCAGAAATAGTGTTGTCCCACGATTGCATGATTTTCAGAGTAAATTTCGAGAGAAAATTCTCCCCGTGCATCGCTACTGAGAATTTTTGAAATTTTACTAGTAGAACCGCGTAAAGTTCTTCAAAATACCACGTTGTCCCACGATTATCTGAGTTCCAAGTGAAATTCTAAGATAGAATTCTCTCCGCGTACTGTTTATTAATATCGCGTATGCCGTATACGAGTAATTCTTCCTCTAAAAAAATATTTTTTGCCCCAATCTTGTCTACACTCGCCTCATCAGGTACACGAATTTAATTACCTAATCCTGGAACGACGCGCAATCTTGAAATCAACCGCAGATTCCTTCGTGGAGCAACGATTTTCCCCCTTCGGAGCAAACGATTGTTAGTCGCTCTCCCCTATTTAAAGGATCATTACGCTCGTGAGGGGTGCGTCGCCGTCCCCAAGATTTCCGGGGTTTCAACGCCACTCGTTATTCACCAATTAAGCGGTCGTGGAACCAGCGGGCGGAGCGAGCGGCGACGAGCTGGTTAATCGGTCTGGTTAGCCGGTTCGATGACGGAACAAAGGCCGATAAAAACGAGACGAAACGCGCGGGTGTTACGCGAAGGGTTGACGCACGGAGGAGCGGGCCGGGAGGAGCCCTGGCCGCGGGTTGAAGAGAGTCGAACAATTCCGTGAACGTTTGGCACCTTCCCAACTCCGCGGCTCGCTTTTTACGTGCCGGACCGGCAAAACACAACCACGGCGTGGAACACCGCGGGTAGAATACGTCTTTGCGAGCTAACCATTCGGGGATTAAACGTCCCTCAAAGAGTCCAGGACCATCGGGCCGCCCTACGATTGTCGCGAGAGACAAAGGCCGGTATTCATAGTCAGATCTTATACTCAAGACCGTCTTTAGATACTCCGTAGCCAGCGGAACGCCCCAAACAGCGTCTTTAGATAAATTCAGGACGGTCTTGAATATACTGTAAGATCCGACTATGAATACCGGTCTAAGATTTTATTACTCGTCAAGTTTCCACGCTCGATAATGGAGAGCTATCGAGGAACGTATATGAGATTTATGGTGGGATTATTCATTTTCGATAAACTTTCGCTTCATTTACGGGGGATGTTCTTCAAATAAACGCTTATCATAATAAAGGGGCGAACTGCATCGACGACACCATCTGCTCTATTCAATATTTAAGTATCGAACTTAAAATACACGCGCACAGAGTGTCCCAGGTGGTCCTCGTATCTTCTTCCACCTATGCACTTCGCCGGGCCGGCACTCTGGAAAGTAAAGTTCCACGACGCTCTCAGAAGAAGAAATCGCCGAATACTTATGAGAAATTAGAGATTAGCTGTGTGCAACTCGATCTTCTTCCTCTATCTGCGTTGCCAGTTTCACGTAAGCGAACGCGAACTATTTGTTTTCCATTACAGAACGTTGCGGCGACGATGTGAAAGAAAGCGGTTCGTCGAGCGAGAAATAATGGAGTTATTAAAACCGTTTTGGGGCCGCGCAATGAAAAAGCGGTTGCCCAGCGACATTTCAAAACCGATATTATCCCGATATCATTACTCGACGAGAAGTCCGGCCCGTCGAAGGGAAGGATCGGGACGGAACTCTGGATAGGACGGAGATGGAGGACTTCGCGAAGGTGAAAACTGCCGTTAAGTCTAGGGTTACCTGGTGGTGCAACGTTCATTTCGTACACTGCCGCGCGCTAATTTCTTGTCGCTATTTACCGAATTCCGCCCGGAGATTCCGCGCGGAGATTGCGGAACCGCCGTCAGGCCTGCGGTCGCGGTGCGTTGCCGCTTAAACGGTAAAATATGACCTCGCCGGCGCGGAATGGGCGAATTGTTCGTCACGATCGGAAGTTTGATGTTTCAGTTTAAAGACGAACAGTCGTGTAAGTAGCGCTTTCGCTGCTCGATCCCTCTGTCTCTCTCATGCTTTTCCCGCCATCGAGATAAATTACTCGTGGCAGCTAAGTGGAAATACGAGAGGAGAGCCCGGCTCTTCTTCGTGGTGTCCGCCACTCGACGGCGCGGGCGTGGAGAGGGTCAGCCGATAAATTCAGATAAAAGTACGAGCAATTTTCTTCTTGTTAACGCGGCGGCGATGCTTCCCCTCCCCCCCCCCTCTCTCTCGCTCGCTCGCTCGCTCACTCACCCCCTCTCTCAGGTGCCCGCGCCGTGAAAAGAACTTCGTTAAACGCGGTCCTCGGACGAGGGAGCCGGAGTTAGATTAGTTAACTTGGGGTTTAGCGAATTACTCCGATCGCGCGGTGATAAGTCACTTTGAAGCCTCGCCTATAATTAGGTTTGTCCTAAAGCAGAACTTTGTTCGCCACGCTTTCAGGGGTCGAGCGCGCCGGGCGCGCGCCCGGCCTCAGATTCCGCCTGCGATCGTTCGTTAACATCGCCGGCGAGAAGCTATCCCGGCGGCTGGCGTCGAAGGCAATCCCGGGCTAACGATATAATGCGTCTTCTACGTGTGAACGCGGTAAGCGCGATGCGCGTCTCACTCTAGCGCCGAGGGTATGACCGTGTCTGCGATAAGTTAGATCCTTTCTCAGGGAAAACGCACGGGGTTGCGTTGGACGGGGGGTTTACACGAGAATTGGCCTTGCCGAGAGCGGTCCGGCGCAGTAAACTCTGTTTCATAGGACTCGATATGCAAAATAAATACGTCGTGGAACAATAACCGAGCGAAACTACAACAAATGTTAGGAGTCAAGCGGCACTGTTCGCTCCAGTAAGTCGGAAGAAAACTTTCCGAAGCCTTTCAGACTTCAAAGCCTTCGTAAGCCGGATACACCCCGATAGGGGAAATGTCTCAAATATTGTGTAATCATCGCATCATTCAAAAGCGAAAAAGTTTGCCAAAACGCAGCGGTTTCGTACGAATAAAATTTTTAATATGTATTTACCGAAAAATTGATGATCTTCGTCCCTAAGTAAATTTCGCCCCTTGAAACTTGCCAATGTATAAGAACTGGAAAGTTATTCGTTGACAATTTACTCGACACGTCTGTCTCTTTTATACTTTGTAATATTATTCGTTGACAATTCATACGTCATTTATATTATTATATTTATTCTTCGGCTATTAAGTTATTTATTCGTCATTATTCATAATCTAATTCTTAGTTAGTTGCGTCCCTTTAGACCATATAATAGTATTTGTTACAATTTTATAATTTGTAGCGAGTAGGTGATAAATCGGTTCTAGCTCGTAAAAATGTTGGCCTTAGATTATCGATTAGTTTTATTCCTTAATTGAAACGAGCTTGTTCTCAATTTTATGGAAAGTTATTATTTATCGCGCTATTGACTCGGCATCAACTTTTATTAATTTAATTTCCAATCGACATCTCATACGACGGGAAAACTTACCTGGTGACGTTAATCTGATCGGTAATTTCGACGGTGCCGAGGTGCCGGTAGCCGGCGAACAGCATGTCGTTACCCATCAATCCGGAACCGCGACCGTCGATGGCGGCGTATATGATGCTTTTGTTTGTTACAAGATACGTGCCCCAATCGACGTTAAATTTCTCCGTCACCTGATACGAGTCCGGGCCGCCGTATCTGAAAGGCAAGACAGATTGCGTGATACAGGTAGTCAGAATGCCACATTGCCGGTGTATTTCGTCGTACACACATATCTGTTCAGTTTACGTCTTGCAAACTTGATTCTTCAACATGTAGTCTGTTTTTAAAGTAGAAAAAATACGGCTATCGCTCGATTCCTGTTCTAAGGCTCGGGTTTTCTTAATTCGTCCTTTGTCTCTTTCCAACTGTTACTTTGGAAAGAAACAAACGTGAATTGAACTAACAATAAGATTAAAGTTAAGCGACATTTGGTGAAACCGGGCCTCAGCTTCAATTTTTTGAAATCTGTGTGAATGAGGAAGAAAGAAATTAGCTATTTTAATTATAAAATAAGCAGAGAGTTGGTCCATAAAAGTAAAAGTTAATTTCTAAACAAAGAGCGAATGAACGGTGCTAATTTACGCAACGGTCATAAAATTATTAGCCCAGGTAGAAAGTCCAAAAGGAATGCTTTGAAAACCCGAATTGTTATTTCGTACCAGTTCTGTTTTAAAAACGTTCAAAAAGAATTCACTTTTATGTTTCAATATTGGGCTCTTTTTTCGACGCACAAGGAATTTTGATATTCGGAGCAATTTTTTACTCTCACACGAAGTCAAAGCGGAAGCTTTTTGAGCTGCCATAGGAAAGAAATTCTTTCAATTTCATTTTGGACAGACTACTTCAATTTATACCAGAACTTAAAAGGTGAATTCTTTTTCAGCCCATAACGATTACCCGTGCCATCTGGGTAATATAATTTAAAATAGGGATAAGACACGCGCGGTACACAACGCGGCTAATAGCTCCGATAATTAAATCTATTTAGACCTTGCAATATGCCAAATTGGCCTTTTCCCTCGGTGAAAAAAAGGCTCTAATCTTATCATCGGATCTAGCAGATGTAGCCCGGCCACTTCCCCGATTGTTTAGCGGGCAATTTTCCCGGCTTCCATGCTCATTACCGTCCTCGACGGTCGTTTGCGGGAAACCTCAGTGCCACTTCCGCGGGCAGGACGAGGGGCCGCGCGAAAGAGCGGAGTCGAACGGTGACGAGAATTAGGAAATGGAAGTTCGAGAACGAAGATGGCTTTTCTGATACGGCATCTGCGAGATGGGGATCGCCGACGCTGACGTGGAAATAGAGACGGATAGTAATGATCCCGTGGATGGCGTGATATAAACGCGAATGTTCTCGAGAATGACGGCGATACGGCGCACGGTAGTATCGTGGAAGCACGCATAGCGCGCGATCGAAGCGAAATAGACCGTAATGATAACCGATGATCCGCCCCATCGGACACTACGCTCGTATGGAGAAGCCGTGAACGCGGGACGAGGAGAAAGGAACGTTCCGTGGAGGAAAAAGAGCATCTTGCGTAATTTCTTTTTATGCTAATTAAAACACACGCGTGATCAAGTGCGACTCGCAGCTTCGGTGGTGCGCGCTTCATCAGCCGTGGTAACCGCAGTTGAAAATTTTACGCGGATACTTGTGACTTAATGCGATTAGTGCTAAATCGATACGATAATTGTCTCAATTGATTGATCTTCACGCTCGTTTTGAGATTATACGAGGAGATAATTCTCTGCAGTACTTCCCTTCTTGAATTGCAAAGCCACGCATTCTGACGTCTCTTTGCGCAAACGTTTACCCTTTTAATTACTTTTTAATCCGCGCGCGAGACGAACGAAGCGAGCACTAGCTGTGTCAAGAGTTATTAACTCAAATATCGTTTGGGAATTAGTCATTGTTATCATACCACTTCGGATTCATAGTACGGTTGACATTATGCTGATCTGCAGTGATCTCGTGTAATCGTATGTAAATGGTGTCACGTGTAATCTCGCGCTATTTCCGGCGCGGAGAGCGGCGTAATCACGCGCGAGGGCACTTGGCGTCTTTATAATAAAGCGAATTGGATAAAGAGTCGGGATTTACGAGTTGGAATTGCGTTACGGCGGCTGGAGGCGCGATGTATCGAGCGACGCTCTTCATCGCGACCGAGACTGATATCGCGTGCTTACGTCGCGCGAGGGACCTTCGTTAAGGGGATCCTAAAGCCGTCTGTTTTATCGACATTCTTCGCTAGAAGTAATCTTTCAATTGGCTTTATTGAAATGCAAAATTCTTTTACGGAATTAATGGGGGGTGCTGGAGTGATTCTGTACTTTTGCACCTTTCTAACCTAAAAACTGTCAGTTCGCGGAAACATTTATGTAATATACAAATTAAATGGCTTACGTGTGCAGATCGAAAGCAGCTCGCTATTCCGGCCAAATGAAAGAACAATATGGCATCACTGAAACTAAGTTTGTAAGTCTAATAAATCACAAATCTTTCCACGAAACAGACAGTTTTAAGTGCAAAAGGTGCGAAAGTGCAGAATCACTCCAGCATCCCCTTAAAGTACGCAGCAAAATCTAGACCAGGTATGCTGGTCGACTTTATATCAAAACATTTATAATAGTGTAATTGTTACACTCGTATATAATTTTACGTACTGTTTTTTTTATAGTACGTGCGTGGCGAAACTTTAATGGCGTCGAATTTTCATGTAAGTATTTGCCGGTTATTTGCTTGCTCCTCCGTTAATTTATTTTCATAAATTGAACCGCTTAGCGGATCGCGTGCTTGAAATACTTATTGACCGCGAAACACAGAGAGGAGTACTCATTTAACAGCATCGAGAGCGCTGATTTCACGGAGAGGTCGACGGCCCATCGACGGTTCCGACGAAAACGTCTCGTATACCGAGCGTCGCGATCGATGATCTAGATTGAACGTATATAGGAAATTTCATTGAAAACCAGAGAGAACAAGCGATCGCTCGGGTACCCGTGATATGTGAAAACTCTGCACGCGATCCAATATACCGTTTCAAACACGAGGACAGTACAATTACTCCACTATAAAGCGAACGGTGGAAACTCAAACTTCTCTTTATTCGCCATCGCCGAGCGAACGAGACGCGTCTACCGTGGCAATTGCAATAGTTCTTCTGCGAGTTTAACTTTGTTCGGTCATCGTCATTTTGCATTTCTCTCGCAGTCGGCAAGAATTTACATTTAATGCAGACAATAAGAGACACAGCATTAGAATCGATATCCAAAGCATTAAAAATGTAGGATAGAAAGCTCGGTATAGAAACTGCATAGGAACTTTTCATCTTTGTGTATAAACAACTAATGTAAAGCGGCGTTAGAGAAATCAATTTTAAGTGTTAGGTAAAAGAAAAGTAAATAATAAACCTTGATTGACTTAATAATTGTAATAAACTTGGAACTTTTTCCTTCGTACATAGATGACAATTAATGCAAAACGACGTTAGATAAATCAATTTTGACAGCATTAGATAAACAAATAATAAATCTTAATAAACCTAATAATTTTAATAGGGAACTTTTTCTCTTCGTGTATAGACGACAATGAATACAAAACAGCGTTAGGTAAATCAATTTCAACAGTGATAAATAATAAGTCTGGATAAATCCGATAATTTTAATAAACCTATAATAAATTTCGCTAAACCTTGGATTGAATTACGGCTGTCCGGCGTCGCGTGAAGGTGATACAAATTCTTTCGCATTCTCTTGCTACTGGATATGTTTTTACGGGACGATTCGCATTAAAATTTGCTTGCTTTAGGAAGGGTGTTGACCCTTCAAGTGTGTTAACGATCGCATTAGTGTCTTTTTCTCTGACCGTTAACGCGAGGCTTGCTTGCACTTAAGGGATGGACACCGCGGCAACAACTTCCGCCGTAAGCTCTTTGTACTTTCAGAAGTTCGAGCTCGGCCAGGGCCGCCTACAAATTAGGTGTTATTAGGATTTACGCCGGAAAGTTATATCGGCCTCGTGCGCCGTGCCCGGCGACGTCATTGCCGTTTATACACGTGCACTCGGCAAATGTGGAAAACATGAAAATCTCATCCCGCCATTACGGCGACGGCTAATGACCTCAAAGAAGAATTACCTCCTCGCAATAAGATTACCGTTCGCGCGAGCGTGGCTAAACAAACGAATAATTTTCTCCGCAATTTCCCCGTGTGCTCGTGCATAGAAAGAAAAGCGTCAGGTCAAAGCACAACACTATGCGCGATTCGTGATTCATCGACTCGCCGTGCGCAATTCGCGATTCGCTAGCCAAGCGGTCTTTAAACAATATAATCTCATTTTAAGATTTCCACGTTGAAACAAAATATATTTTCCAAAGAAGATATTCTCTTTCTCTGTGTGTGTAAATATAAAAAACATGAAGATATTTCCGCGAATACTTGGAAAACTGCGTTTTAAACTTGTATTTTAAAACAGACGAAGAAAAGGAAGGAAAATTGGGAGCGAGATGATCGGGGAGAGAGAAATCGAGAGGAATGCGAGCGGACGTCGCGCGTTTGGTTCCCGAGCTCTCCCACTTGACGCCCGTGTTATTTCTTCGCCGTTAGAAGAAATACCGGGCGCGGGGGTCGATCGATAAGCAGCCCCGGCTTTTATCGGGGAGGCTGCTGAAGTTTCCGTTCGTGAGACTGAATACGGAATGACTCATCGCTTCGCCGGCGGTTTTACATCCCCGTCCTAATTCAGGCCACGTAAAGGAGAGCTTCGTTTTCACGTCACGGTGCGGACCGCCGCTCCGCGCGCGTTCGTCACCGGCTCCTCCATTACGCTTATCTTCGCGGGTGCATTATGACGGGACCGATTGATGACGCCCGCGGAGTGCGTTGTCACATTTCTTGTCGCGCCGCGGGAAATATGGATGCTTTTAAGTGAACGCCGAGATCTACGCGACGCCGAAAAACGACGCGATTTAAGGAACTCGGATGATGGCTGAGAAGTGCACTTGACGGCTGAACCGCGATCACTCGCCGGGGCTCACGTGTCCGATTATAATATCGGGGTTCGCGAATATGTGTTGAAAAACAAAAATTCCTCTCGCGCGATATTTTCGAAAACCTTATTCTATCACGCCGGAGAATTCCAGAGATTGAATTAATGAAATATAAAATATATACTAATGAAATAATAATTAATAGAGCTCACATAAGAATTGAATATTGTTCAGATATTTTTTGTGTAAAATATTACACGTATTCTTCCGATTGTTAAAATAATAATTATGCAGTTTTTTAATACTTTCGTGTAGAAACAATTTCGTACCCGAGCGGAAGCACACAATTTTGAATTTTCCAACAATATTACAATCTTATCTAAAGACTATAATAGGTTATTTTAAGAATACATATAATTATTTTGACAATAAAACCGTTTTAATCTTTGATTCAAAAATATTTTGTATCCAATATATTGTTTCCTTTCCATTCAAGAAAATTATTCTTAAATAATGAGCGAAATCGGTCGGTAATTCATCTCTCATGGTAAAAGGTTGGGACAGCCTTACGACTCACCCTGTATATTTCTTGGTTGAATTATATAAAATTGCTTCGCTCAAGTTTTCCTTCCTTTAACGCAATGTAATTTCATTTAAAGACTTTCACGTTGAAATTAAACATACTTTCAAAAGAAGAATATTCTCCTTTCGTGTATGGAAAAACTGAACAACTTACACGTAAACCAGCATGGGATACTTGGCGGCACCGCTCAAGTCAGCGCCGGGTGGTATCAGGAGCCTCACTTGGGCGTTAAAGCCGCCTGGAACTGAGACTTTGTATCTATGGACGATCGGCTGCGACTTCTCCATTATTATGTCAGTCACCACGCTGTTGTCCTCCCACACGGAGAGCAACGTGGTATTCTGAAAGTCGAAGAGCAACAAGACATTAATAAAACTGGCGTGATTTTATTTGAAAATTAAATTCCAATGAAACAGAATTTGGAGCCGCGAGAGCTTAAATCTAAAGCTGGGAAGATATTCGTCGACACCGGAGGTATGCGAACTTTAATACGTTTATCAGTAAAGTAAATTAAAGAATATTAATCCTACGCGTCTCGCGTGTACGTACCTACATGGAAAAGCTTTCCGGATCCAGTGTTGTTACATTTCGATCTGTCATGAAATAGGGTCGACATTTAACGACAACCATATTTATTGTTGAGAAAAAGATTTGATCTCAACTGGAAATGTTTTAATCTATTGTAGAATAAAACGATGTTGGCGCGTGCGTAACGCATCAAAAAAGATTCTTTTTTAAATATATAATATAAGCTTAAAGTTATGTTACTTTTACTTCAATGTAAGTAAATCTTATTTGATTCGAGAGTACGAAGTATTCATTTAATCTTAATATCGTTTTATTTTCGTACTGCACGAAGCATAAGCGATACACTTAGAAATGTCAAGAATATATTTCGTTTCGTTATCAGAAATCCCTTCTGAGAGGGCGGATAGCTGAACCATTGGCCATTCGTCATTTGCGAGATTCGTTCGCAACAGCGACTATCTATCTTCCTTCTTAATGCTCGATTTTTCTTCCCCCCCTGATCCGCTGTAGACTCCATCGATCGCTGGTCACTTCCTGATTCTGACGTCGTCATAATCGCGACAGGTTACACACCGAGGGCGGTGAATAACATCGTCAGCACACTCGCAGACACTTCCGCAAACTTGCGGGGAAGTCGTAAGACCAGAAGAACGTTTAGCGCGGTTTGCCTTCCCTAAAGTACTTCGCAACTTCAATCGCACCCTCCGCGCGGTTTGCCGGTCGGAATCGATTCGGTTCAAAGGGCAGCCACTTTCGCGGGTAGTTGTCCGAAGTACTTTTTTCCTCCTCAGCGTGACGGAGCGGGGGGGGGGGGGTGCGCGGTATATATGCGGCGATAAAAAATTGCATTAGAAAAGTCGAACGGGAGCCAATGGCGGCGGCGGCGGAGGGCGCCGCGCGATTTGCCCGCCGAAGTTCCCAGTCTGCGTTTTTGCGACCGAGTTTACCCCGCGAGTTCCGCGTCTCTCCCCCCCCCCCCTGCCCCTTTCGGGGGATCGGGGCAAATGTAACGCGCAATCTGCGCGCTTTTGTGCGTCGAGCACTCGACGAGTTCGCCGCCGACCCGACGGCGAATCTCGATTTTGCATCGCCGCGAACTTTTTCTCGGGAAAGCTCCGCGCGCTCGGATCCGCGTTACCGAAGTTTCTTCGTCGAATGACAGGCGATCTGGCGAGGTTTCCGGCTTTTGTGGGAATCTCTCCCTCGTACCGATCGCGATATGACGTGGCGATATCGATTTTCGATCGCGAGGCGGATATATATATATATATATATATACATATATATATTTCTTTTTTCCATCTCCTCGGTTCGCTGCACCAGGTATATAGAGCAGCCGCAAGTACGCGCAATCGCGAATATGCTTCGTGTAGGATAAGTTGATCAAGTTTTGAAGAAGCCAAAAACGACGGAGCATTTCTTACTCTATAATTAATTTTACAGCACGTATATACTATTATATACATATATTTCAGTTCGTTGAGGCAGAAGGACAGAGATACCTCGAATATTATATATTGCGACTTACTTAAATATGTTAAGGGAATGTTGGAGTGATTCTGCACCTTTTGCACTTTTTGCATCTAGAATTGTTAATTCGTAAAAACATTTGTGTGACACGTAAATTCTAAGGCTTAGGCGTACAGATCGAAAGTGTATTCGGACTAAATGAGAGAACAGCATTTGAAATGAAGTTTAGAAACCTAATAAGAAGTCTGTTCACTCGAATAAGTTCTAGATAATTTATTCGAGTGAATAGATTTTTCGTTAGGCTTCTACACTTAATTTCAATTGTATCACGCTGTTCTCTGATTTAGTCCGATTAGTGGTACACTACTGTCGGTCTGTACACAAAAGCTACAATGATACCAAGTAATAGGTTACCTAACCTATAACTTATTTAAGTGGATAAATTTCTTTTTACGCTTCTAAACTTAATTTCAATGATACCGTGTTGTTTTCTCATTTAGTCCGAATAGTGGGACGCTGTCGATTTGCACACAAACGCTACATAAATTGTATATTACACAAATGTTTTCATGAATCGACAGTTCTATAGGAGCAAAAGGTGCAAAAGTGCAGTCACTCCAGCATCCCCTGACCCCTTGCAATTTATAAGTGTGGATTAAAACGTATTTCATTTCTCTATAAATAAACGTTCAATTTCCTTAAACAAGACACCGAACTAATTTGCACGCGCGATATAATTATATATTTATTTTCCATCGAAGTGAAATTCCATTCTATATTGCGTACGACCGTTTGCAAAACGCCGCATGACGAAGCAACCGACGGAAGTTCATAAAATATTATTGATCGCGACGTCGAAGAAGTATAAAATATTTTTTTCACATTTTAATTAACAACGAACGTTGCTGGAGGCACGAAGACGACTTGTTCTGCTTTGGGCGGAGAGGGTGCGACTCGAACAACGTGCAAAAAGTGACATCGCAGTTTCTGGAAACTGCTTCTGGAAACTAGGCAAGTCATTCTACAGCAACGTTCGGCCGCGAGGAAGACGAAGTACGTCACGCTTTGGGCTAGAAAATTCTCTCTCATGCAGATCATTCGCCAGGTCTAACCTCGCTTGCTCCAATCGCTTTACCGACATCACTTTACCACGCATTTCAAACAGCGGACGACAGAGAACCGCCGACTTTACAGACTTAGACCCGCGGTTCCACCGACGTTGTTTAACTTTAAGATTAGCTTAATTCGTTCTTCGTATCTTTCTAACTGTTACTTTACAAAGAGGCAAACGTGAATTAAACTACGATTAAAGTTAAGCAACGTTTAGTGAAGCCAGGCCTTAAAGTCGCTATCTTTTTCTCGCGAGCGAAGTCATCGAAAAATAATGGCAAACGTTGCGGGGATCAAAGTGCATTTCGTTTCTCTATAAACGAACGTTCAATTTCTTCAAACAAGACACCGAATTAATTTGCACACGTAACATAATAACCTTATTTTTCATCGAAGTTAAATTCTATTCTAATTAAAATCTTATTTTCCGCACTGTCAGGTTTAACGATAAATACCTGCAAATAACTTGCAAGGAAGAATAGAATTCGACATTCTCGTTTAATTTGTCGCGTACAATGAAGGCGCTCGATATTTTTTTTTCTTCCCAGCGCAGAGGGCGGAGGAAAAGTTCAAACAATGGTATGTAACTTATTTGAACTTTATCGTCATGGAAAGTCAGTCGCGAGTTAAAATCGTAGAATTATATTTGCATACCGCAAATGGCCGCTTAGTTAAAGCCATTGTTAATTGTTCGCCGAAAAAGGGGAAAAAATCGACTCTAAATTAGCGAAAACTCGCGCCGCGTAAATTATGCACGAATTTCCCCGGCGACGCGGAAAGTTCCTTCGGCGCAGCAGAGAGTAATAATGGCATATTGAAGGCTCGAGCGCGATCAATTGGCATCGCTTTGTGCCTTTTGTAAATTTCGATAATAGTCCATATCATAATATCGACGTAATTGGATCGGCATGCAGGAGTGCCTCGTAAATCGCGTCAAAGTGCAGCGAAGATCGACAAAGGGATTCCAGGGAGAATTTTATACGTGCCTGTTTGCGACTTCGCTGACGCGCGCGTAATATTCGCGCGTAACAAATCACTCTATTAATCCTCGAAAAATTGATATATTAAAAACGAGCGTCGGTGCACGTGTGTGCAAAATATCGCAGCTATTTCGCGCTAAAGCCTTGTGTCCACGATCGAAGAACTGCGTCCAAGTTCCAGCTCCGGGAAATGTGCGGCCAATCGACTTGCAGCTTTGCCGTGACAGAACTGGAACGTGGACGCAGTTCTACCGGATTAATGCCGAGTGTGTGGGATTGGAGTTGGGAAAATGAAGAAAGTAGACGATGTAACATCTCGCGAGCTGTTACAACACACAATAAGTGTGAACGAAATCTTTTTTAAATGCGCCTGTATTGATTGCCTGTAATTATTCGACGTAGACCTTACGAAGCGAGAGAGAAATGTGCGACTGTTCGCGTTAATTGAAACGACCAAAGTTGAAGGAAAGCAGACCGATCCGCACGGTCGGGAAATGCGAATTTCATCGACAAGGTCGCTCTTTAACGTAATTGGATTAACGTTCATTGTCGACGGTTTCCCGGGCGAGAGGACCAATTATCAGCATTAAGCGGCCGCGCGAAAATAAGCGATAAAGGCGCCGGATAGTCAGATTTTCGCTCCGCTGGTCGCGATAAAGCACGTGGATTCGTTCTCGACATTTTGCGTTAGGCGCCCTTCAAGTTCGACGAGTTCCACTTCTCCCTTTCCCCCCCCCCCCCCGGCCGTCTGTCGCTGCGGTAATCAGATTACAAAAGAGATAGCTCGATGTAAATCGGGCGTACTTCGAGCTGCGGCGAACCGGGACAATGTAAAACCGTATGCAACGCAACGCCCTAATACTCGTATACTCACAATCAGTCATGTATCATTTTTGTTTCATTACATTAGTGTTCATTACATGCTACCCAGTTAGGGGAGAATTGTCGAACGCGTACCTCATCAATATTTCAACATTTGGTAATAACAATATAAAATCAATGAGACATTAGTAATAGACAAAAAATTAATATGATACAGCGTATTTCGTGAATGCTAACAACATTTAAAAAATGCAGGTGTAACCAATGTTAATTTTTCATCAATTTATTCAGCTGATTATAATGTAACTATGCCATTTTATTATAAATTTTTAATTTTTCACAAAAGAAGGTTTATCGTAGAATATTTTACATTGCTCGCATATACAGACTTACAATTATTATAATATAAGGATCAAATAACTATTTTTGTA